ATTCCCATTCAAAGGATGCCAGGTATTTGACTGGACAGTGCAGATTTCCCAAGGAGCAAATGTTTGAAACTAATATGCATTTTTAAAAAACCACCAAGCAGTTGGACCTCAGATATCCGTGGCCAGTCTCTGCGCTCTAACAACCACCCTCCACTTATCCCTAAGGAAGGCTGGCCTCTTCCTCAGTGCGGGCAGGGGCTGCCTTTTCCAGACCTGACCACTCTCGAGAGCACGACCATCCCTTTTCCAAACGCCTGCTGGAGGCCTCTCTCAGGCTGCCCTGCGGAAGCCCTGGTCCCTCATGCACCTGCTGCTCTCTCAACATTTGACTGCCAGCAGCACCCGGATGAGGGTCCAGAGCCATCACTGACCCACCTCAGGGGTCAGGAAGGGTGCTCAGAGAGGCAGGGGCCCTCAGGCGCTCCTGTTTCTGCTCCTGCCTCCTGGGACTTGGGGCAGGTCCTCCCCTTATCTGGGCCCTGGGTCGCATTCCCTATCCTATTATTGTAACATGCTACTGCTGCTCATCGGGGTCAGCTGAGGAGACAGATTTCTTCAAGCCTGGGCAGTCACTGAGGCATGCAGAGGGCTTTTGGGGACCTCGACATGGCGACTGCCTGGTGCCCGGTTCCCACGTCTCCAGCAAGTATGGGACTGCTCGGTGCTGAGGACGCTGACATGTCACTGCTGCCTGCCAAGTCGCTGAGGGCTGGCGCTGCGGGTGGGGGCGGGGGCATGCTCCGCTCTGGGGACAACCAGGGGAGCACCAAGGTGCAGAGGCTGGGCAGGTGACCTTCGGAACTGAGGTAGAGGAGGAAGCCTGGCGAGGAGGAGGGGCCTGCTTGCGCGCGTGCGCGTGCTCCGGTGCGCGCGCACTGAGGCTAAAGGCTGCACCAGAACAAAGAGCTGGGGGCTGGGCAGCTGGGCCGCGTGGAGCCGCCTGCCTGGCGGTGCTGCAGTGGCTGCGTGAGCTCCCTCCCGCGCTCTCCCCGGACACGCGCGCGCGCGCGCACACGCACGCTCCTGCTCCACGGCGGCTCACCGCCAGCTCTCCTGACAAAGCCCCGCTCCAAGCTCGCTGGCTGCATGATCTCATCCGGGCCGGCCTGGCCTCCCGACTAGGGAGACAGGGGGACGGGGCGGCAGCGGCGACAGCCACATACACACAGCAAACACAGCCACACATACACATACATAGCCACATACTACCACACATGCACACACGTACACAGCCACACATACCACACATAGACGTGCACACCCTCCCACACCCCCCCACACTACCCAGGGTCTGAGATACAGAGAAAGCCATGGGAAGGTAGAGATGGACAAGGGCAGTAGGCAGGGGAGGGACAGACAGACAGACATGCAGACACCAGAGACCTCAGAGGGAAAGGAGAGGGAGAGACTGGGGTGGAGGGAGTTGCACAAGCAAGTCAGGCAGGCAGGGAAAGACAGGAGGGTGGAGAGGCAGCGCAGGGTGGCCATGGAAGCGGGTGAGTTCTAGAACTGCAGAGGCCTTGCTGGGAATAGGCTGGGCCCAGGGGCGGGGTCCCTGTGGGTCACTCACCTACCCACAGAGCCCAGGGGGTAGAGACCAGTGGGAAGCAGCCTCCTGGGGCAGAAGGGGCCTTAGGGAGGCAGGGAGCCCTGCTGGGGAAGAGAAGGCCGGAAGGCAATGTCTACTTGGCACCCACTGTGCGCCAGGTATCCACTGGCCCCTTCCTCTCCCATGGTTGGGGATGTCATTCAGTCCTCACAGGCAGCCCGTGAGGAAGGCCCCCAAGCTGTCTTCACCACAGCTCTGAGAGGTGGGCAGCTGGAGCCACCTCTGGATCTCGGGGTCACAGCCCTGCTCCCTGTGGCCTCCACCTCTCTCCCTGCCCCTGGCAGGCCCTTCACCCCTCAAATAAAACCAGCAGCTGGAGCCTCCCCCCGCAGTCTGGACCCCTGCCTTTCCAGAAGACAGCCAAGCAGAGGGCCTGCTGGGGTCCTGAGAGCCCTGAGGCCCTACTTCTGCAGGCACAGCTTGTGAACGGCGGTCAGCCACAGCTGTCGGTGCTGACAGGGTCTGGCTCCTAGCAAGGACATTCAAGTGATGGCCAAGCCACAGGCACTGCTGTGCCTCGGTGTTCTCGGCTGCAGGGGGTATGCTGAGAGCTCATCTCGCAGGCCTGGGGAGTGTCATGTAACTTAACAGACACACGCATGGGAGAGGGCTCTATAAACTGCAGCTGGAGGAAAGAACAAATCCCTTGTTTGGGGAGAAGAAGCAATGCTGCAAATGCAGCTCAGAACCCAGGGCCTTGCTGGAGGCGCCAGAGTAACGTGCAGGGCCAGCCCAAACAGAAGCGGAGCGGCTTCCCAGACCCTGGGCCAGGAGAACAGAGGCCTCCGGCCAGCCCCAGAGTCAGCTGTGATGGAGTAAGCAGAACCCTCGGCCTGCAGCCCTGAGGCTACGAGTTCAAGTTCCAGCTCCATCACTTATGAGCTGGGTGACCTCAGGCAAGTCACGGGACCTCTCTGAGCTTCAGTTTCTTCATCCATTAATGTACATAGTACCCTGTGTCTCACAAAGCTGGGCGTTGCCACAAAACATAGGAGAACACCCAGCACATGCTAGCAAGGCAGGGGCTTAAGCAACCCCCGAGGGAGGGGCCACATAGGGACCTGAGCCTCTCCACCTCCACTGGGTTTTCCTTCTACCTCTCTGGCCACGCTTTCTCTGCTGTGGTTTTGCCTTTTAAATATCCCCTTCTTTCCACTCCACTCCACTCTTGTCTTCCTGGTCCAGCCACCATCCTCCTCACCCCCTCTCCCGGTGATTTGCCAACTGGACCCTATATCCAGGCTGTCCCCCACCTCCTGTGCAATCTGTTCTTTTGCAGCTAGAACAATCTTCATAAAAGGAAACTACAGCCATGTTCCCATTACTCTTAGGGCAAAGACCACTGCCTTCAAGACAGGCCCTCCATGTTCAGCTGCTGCTGACTTCTCTGGGCCTCAGCTCTGCCATGTAACCCCTTCCTCTAGGCTCCATATCCACTGCCTTTCTCTTAGTTCTGTCAAAAAGCCACACTCCCCTTCTACCTCAGGACCTTTGCACAGGCTACTCCCTTTACCTGCGAGATAGCTCTTCCCTTTCTTCGCCTACTCTTACTCAAACTCTGGGTCTAAAGGAAGCCTTCCTCCACCCCAGGGTGGTCTTCCCCCACCAACGCACCCATGGCACCCTTGTCTTTTTCTTCAAGGCACTTATCGTGGCTTGAACTTACACACACTCATACACACATACACACCTGCAATTATTTGATTGATGTTTTTTCTCTCCCTCTCGACCAGGAGTCAAGAAACTACAGGCTATCACTTGTTTTCATAAATAAAGTTTTATTGGAACTTGCCATAGCCATTCCTTTACGTATTGTCTATGGTTGCTTTCCTAGAGCCCACAAGGCCTTATATGTATGCCGTCGGGCCCTTTACAGAAAAAGTTTGCTCACCCCTGCTCTAGAATGTACGTTTATGGCGGCGGGACCCTTTCTGTATTGCTGCTCCTCATAACCTCAGCCCCGGCCAGGGCAGCACAGAACAGACACTTGAGAGATACACGCTTCTTTGATAAGTTATGATTTTTACCTTGGCAAAACTGTATTGACTTAAGTTATTATTAAAACTGCAGATTCCATCAGGAATAGATGTCCCTGGTAAGATTCCAAGACCGTTTTCTGGAAGTAGTTCAATACAATAGCGATATCCTGACACAGGCTGGCATGTCAAGAGTTTCAGAGCAGCTATTGGCTAATGGGGCCGTCACACTTCCCTCTGTAACTGCAGCATTACCCACGTGCATGGGCCGTAAAGGTACACCGGAAGAAGCATAAACCCGCGTTCAAGAGATTATAAATTGAGTAGATTCACGGAAACGCATCGCAAGATGTCCTTTAAAGGCGTTCATGAAGGCTGTTTCTGTACACACTCCAAAGAACTGATTGACGAATTCAGTGAAAGTGTCTGTTTTATTGTTACACAGACGAAATAACTGTTTTTTTTTTCCCTTTTTCAACTACTTGTTCTGACTCAGTAAAGAATGTTAACAATACCCAGACAAGGTGCTAGGCGCTTTTTATGTATTTCTGGAACTTACGGCGAACCCCTGCAGACCAGGTCTCATTATCATTCCTGCCTTCCCAAGGAGATAAACTGAGGCTCAGAGACCACACACTCAGCAAGTGACAGGACTAGAGAGTCACAGGTCTGTCTGGCTGAAAGCTAGCACGGCACCTGCTGCCTAAGCAAGGCTGTAGGGATGCGGCAAACGTAAAACCGGATCTTTAATGTGCTCGAAGCCCTCAGGGACAGGACGCTGCCTGGCGCCTTTGTGGCCCCCGTTTTACACGGAGTGAGGAGGCCCCGTGCCATGACAAAGCTGCAATGGAGAATATATGCAGAGCAGGCTTTTAAGAATCCCGAATATACTGATTCATTTTTTCATTTTAATTTTGTGTTTGATTTTAACTAACTTTTTTTAAATGAATGAATGACTACCGTAGAGTGTAAAGGTTAAAAATGCTGACTCCGAAGTACAGGCCTGGGCTTAAATCCCAGCTCTGCCACTTTGCAGCTGTGTGACCTTGGGAAATCTCTCCAGCGTCTCTGAGCCTCAGTTTCCTCATCTGTGAAATGGGGGTGATCACAGTGCTTATGCCCAAGGGGTCGCTGTGGCGATGGAATGAGACAGTCATGCCCTGCTTTTAGCACAGTGCCTACTGCTGGGGTGTGGTGTGCCTCGGGATCCCTGCCAGCCCTGAGGTGCCCCCTGGGGCAAGCACACTCCCCGGGAGAGACCCAGGGAGGCGCCCCACCTGTGGGCTCCAGAGCCTGGTGGGTGAGCTTCCATCCTAGACGAACGGAAGCACCAGCTGGCAGGACAGCTCTGCTTTAGGGTCTGGCTCCCCGCCCCGCCTCCCGATGACACCCGTGCAGCTCCCAACGACACCTACCGGCAGACTTTGGAGTGAACTTGTCTCGGTTTGCAGCACACACAGCCAGCAGTCTGTAGCCGAGGTCCAGGTCGAACCCCTGCTGGGCTGCCACCCGACTGACCACCTGCCGGCAAGAGGGGAGGAAGGGCAGGGTGAGTCACTGCCTTCACAAAGCCGCCGAGCCCAGAGTGGGTGGACAGGCCCGTTTTGCAGGTGACGCAGGTGAGGTGGGCAGGCGAAGGCAGAGCTGGGATTGCACCGTGTCTTGTTCAGTCGCTCAGCAAACACTTTTAAACACCTCTTCTGTGCCAGGCCCTGGGATGTCTGTCTCTGTCTTCAGGGATTTTCCACTCTCGTGATGGGCCCAACTCCAACCCCGTAGACCCTGCTGCTTTCAAGGGCTCAAATTCAGCCATGTTCTAGAAGTCGGGATGCCGTTCCACCATCTTTAGGATGGACCCAGGCCAGGGTCTCTGTTCCACCTGCCTGGCTCTTCAATCTCCCTTCCAAGTCTGAGCCCCCAGGAATTCTCCCGCCCCGCCCCCACCCCTCGCTGAGCTCCTGCACCCACTGTTGTGAGGCGCTCGCTGCCCCTTGCCACTCCCAGTGGCATCGGCATCCCACGGGGGCCTGTTAGAAATGCAGACTCTCTGGCTTAGCCCCGCCCCTCCCGAGGCCGCATCTGCACCTGGCACGAAGCACTGATTTAGAACCCGCTGCTTCCCATGGAGCTTCGGGTCAGAGCTGCCCAGTGACTGCTAAGGCTCCCTGCATGGGGCCGACACTCGCAATGCGGCTCAGTGTGCGGCTCCGTGCCAAGCACCCTGCGGCCCCTCGAACTTCAGCCTGGAAACTGCAGGACTCCCGCGCTCGGCCTGGGGTCTGTCTGCAGCGCCACGCCTGGCTCCACACCCGGAGCTTCCACGAGAGCAGGGGAGCACTCAGGGCCCCAAGGTCCCACCTGTCTCCTAGTGAATCTCACAAGCAGGAGCTAAAGGGGTGAGAGACGGGGGACTGGGAGGACTGTCAGTCCCCAAGGGGGCAATGTGGGCCCGGGGTGCTCCAGGGCCCCCAGTGGCTCTGTAGGCCCATGCCCATCTGGCTTCACTGCATCCCTACCATTCCCAGGTATCCTGAAACTGCCAGATCTGCTCCCTCCCATCCGCCTTCCTCATTAACAGCAGCAAAATAAGCTTTCCTTATTAGGAAGGAAGGACCTTGGGAAATGGAGTTTAGAAAGCAGCTGGGGCCGCCGTGACTGAGCGGGAAGGAAGCACCCAGATGTGGCGGGCTGGTGCTTCTCAGACAGCCCGCAGGGACCACCTGCTCTAGAGGCGGAGGGGCCTCGGGCTGCCAGGGGTTCGGCCTGGCCCCTGGAGCTGTCAGAACAGCTCCAGAACAGCAGGTAATGACCTGCTTGGTATCTTAGGGGCTTGTTACAGGGGCTGGGGCTAAAATGGGTGGGAAAACCTCCTCATTTACATACAGGCACTGGAGGCCCAGAGAGTGTCCCAGGTTGAATCAGAGAGGAGCCAACGGATCCCCTTTCCCAAGACCACCACGACTCTTGGAATGGCGCCCTGGGCCCTCCCCGTAGGCCGCCTCCTGGGAGTTCCCTGTGCAGGGCTAATGTCTGAGCCTGGCCGGGAGGAAAAAGGACACGGTCACGTTAGGATGTCTGCTCAGCTTCTGAGCTGCAAACAGAAGCCCCTGGCACAGAAATCGTCCACTCTCCCGGGGCCTCTTTCCCATGGCTCTACTTGTCCCTCCACATGTTCCAGAGTCACTGGGCCACCCCAGGGCAGGGGCATCCTATCGGTCTCACTGGCCAAGTAGAAAAACCCAGGTCCCTGACTCTTTATGGCCTGTCGATTATTTCTCTGGAGTGAGGAGGAAGGTTCTGGGCTGGAGAGGCCACTGGCCTCAGATGTGGACTCTGGCGCCCTCCCTCTTTGGCAGGAGAGCCGTGGGGTGGGCGCCAGCGAGCACAGATGGCCGGCGTGGACGGCGCGGCGGTGAGGCTGCTGTCCGTGGGCAACGGCGGTGCTCACCCGCGGTACTGTAATGAAGTGCCGGCTCCCAGGCGGGAGGGAAGCGTAAATGCCGTGGCCGCACCAAAGTGCCAGGTTCTCGAAGCGGCACCGCGAGGCGGGTGTTGTTATTATCTCTGCTTCACAGATGAGAAAACTGAGGTCGAGTAACAGCTCAAAGCTCTTCAGTGACAGAGCCAGGATGGGATTTCCGTGTGGGTGAAAAGTCTGTGCTCTTTCCACGACACGGCTGCTTTTTCAGCCCACAGAGGGTTAAGACCATAACTTCCTACCGCATGGAGGACCCTCAGGCCCTGGTTCAGGGCAGGAAGGCAAAAGTCCCCGTGTTTGGCCAATAGTGGCTAGTCCTGTTGCTCTGGTTTTTGAAAAAAATACTAGCTAAATTGAGCAAGAAGGGCCTGGTGCTGTGTGCAGGCTGCAAGGGCCAAGGGTGGGGGGCGGGGTGGCGGAGGAACAGGGAATGTCTGTTGGGGTAATTGGGGTAAGCTGCTCCCCTTGGTTGCCTTGTTTATAAAATGGGATGGTGATCAGCCGGGCCAGTGGCTCACGCCTGTAATCCCAGCTCTTTGGGAGGCCGAGGCAGGGGAACTGTTTGAGGCCAGGAGTTCAAGACCAAACTGGACAATATAGTAAGACTCCACCTCCACCGAAAAATTAAAAAATTAGCCAGTTGTGGTGGCACGTGCCTGTGGTTTCAGGTACTTGGGAGGCTGAAGCAGGAGGATCACTTGAGCCCAAGTGTGAGGTTGCAGTGAGCTATGATGGCACCACTACACTCTAGCCTGGGTGACAGAGCGAGACCCTGCCCACTGTGAAGGGTCTTCATAAGGATCCAAGGAAACAGTGCCCGGGAAAATACTTGGGCACTGCGGGTGTCTTCTTGTCACTGAGTCCCCTGAACCCAAGATTTCAGAAGGGTCACTGGCTCCAGCAGCCTACTTTCACTGATGAGGAAGTCGAGGCCCAGAGAGGGCAGGACCTTGCTCAAGGTCACACAGCACAGGTGTGGCAGAGTGAGCTAAGCTGAACCCCGGGACCCTAGAGTGCCTCATGTACTGCTACCCCATTGGCTTCCTCTGACCCACCCTGAAGACCCCCGGGAAAGCCCTGTGAGATGGGGTTTCACTGGCAGAGGTGGAGGGAGTGGGCTCAGTTGAGCAGCTTGTTTTTCAGAGAGGCTGCTCCCACCCCAATGGGCATGGCGCTGTTCCTGAAGGTCTCACGGGGTGCGAAGACCCCTCCCTGAGTAAGGTGAGCGGCCATGGCGCTGCTGCCCTCTGCTGGCTGCCCAGGCCCCGCTGCCTCGGCTCACTGGCCTGGCTGTCAGTCACCAGACCCCGGGAGGCAGGGGGACCTCGTGGGTCAGCGAGTCCCGCCCTCATGCCGCAGAGAGGGAAACTAAAGTCTAGAGACAAGACAAGATGGGGGACTTGCTTGAGGTCATGTGTCAAATGACCTTTATGGGACTGTGTTGCCCTGAAACGCGGTCAGCCTGTGGCCACAAGCAGGACAGGCTGTCTTTGGGACACTGGCGAAGGGGCTTCTGTTCCGGCAGGGGTGGCACCCGACAGGCCTTTCTGACTGTGACATCCTCTGAGGCTGGGGGACTCCTCCTTGGAGAGATGAGGCTGAGGGCTGCCGACGTGCACCTGCCGACCCCCACTGCGCACCGGCCACTCGAGCACGTCACCAGAGCGTTCCGCCTCCGCGGAGGAAGAACACGCAAGTCTAGAGGGCCCAGAGAGCACCCCGTTCTGGAGAGGAGGTGGTGGCCCAGGGCTGCCGCAGGCTTCAGGCAGGGCTGTGGCGCTCCTGTGCTACACTCTGAAATCCCAGGGTGTGACGGGGAGGTGGGGCAGGGCCCGGCCCAGGTCCGAGTCTGTCACTTTAATTGTGCCTGAGCTACTTCGAAGCCAGTATGGCAAAAATGTGTCCATTTGCTGCCTGAGGCTAAGTGGTTTTTAATTTATATCCTCAAAGTAAGCCGGATCCAGAGGAATTTGGAATTTGTTCCCAGAGGTCACCTAGGGGATTGCAGCAACCTGGAGCACTCAGGCTGCCACCTGGACTGGGAGGGGTGCATGTGCATGTGTGCGTGTGTGTGTCTGTGTGTGTGTGTGCGCGCGCGCGCACCTGTGCTGGGGAGGGGAGGTCAGCCGTTTGCCCAGCCAAGGTCTTTGCCCTGCCCCATCCTGTCCCTCCCTATGGGGCAGGGCTGAGGTTGAGGATGCCCAGGGAAGGGGGCACTGGCAACAGGGCCCAGGGGGCTTCTGGGGCTCAGTGACAACAGCCTGAAATTGGGGTAAGCTGCTCCCCTTGGTTGCCTTGTTTATAAAATGGGATGGTGATCAGCCGGGCCAGTGGCTCACGCCTGTAATCCCAGCTCTTTGGGAGGCGGAGGCAGGAGAATTGCTTGAGGCCAGGAGTTCAAGACCAAACTGGACAACATAGTAAGACCCCACCTCTACCAAAAAATTAAAAAATTAGCCAGTTGTGGTGGCACGTGCCTGTGGTTTCAGGTACTTGGGAGGCTGAAGCAGGAGGATCACTTGAGCCCAAGAGTGTGAGGTTGCAGTGAGCTATGATGGCACCACTACACTCTAGCCTGGGTGACAGAGCGAGACCCTGCCCACTGTGAAGGGTCTTCATAAGGATCCAAGGAAACAGTGCCCGGGAAAATACTTGGGCACTGCGGGTGTCTTCTGTGACCACCCCTGCCAGCCCCTTCCTGCCACTGGCTCTACTGATCTCTAAGGGACAGATGGACTCGGGTCTCCGCAGCTGCAGCTGGTGGGTCAAGGGTCCCTTTCTGACAAAGCAGTGGGCTAGAGGGGTGGGGGTAAAACCTGGCCATTCCACCAAGCGTGTGCCCCCCACTGGGCCCAGGAGAGCTAGCGCTGTGCCTCTGTGCACAGTTTCCCCACCTGGAGAGCCATGGCCTCCTCTCTGTCCCGTCAGATCCCAGGGGTCCTCGCTGGGCTCCCCGTAATCCCTCCGTCAACGCTCCTCTTCAGAGCTCTTGTCCTCACACAACCAAATCCCACCACTCTCCTGCTTACGACCCTGCAGGGGCTCCCCACTGCCCTCCAAATAATGTCTAGTAATGTCCAAATTTTGCTTGTGTGGCCTGCAGGCCCTGCGTTAGCTGCTCTCTGCTTACCGTCTTGCTCACCTAGGCTGCAGCCACCTGAGCCTTCTTTCTGTTCCTTGAGCAGATAGAGCCCCAGGGCCTTTGCACTAGCAGTTCCCTCTGCCTGGAACGTGCTTCTCTCTCATCCTCCCAAGGGGGTCACCCCCTCAGGAGACTTTCCTGACCTGTACCCTGCCCTCTCTCCTAAGGCCCTGCTGTGTGTCCTAATTTGCTCCTTGAGAGTGACACCTTGGTGTCCAGCATAGGGCCTGGCCCACAGTAGGCACCCAGTGAATGTTTGCTGAATGAATACATGGACAACAGGGCTGCAGCAGGGCCAGTTACTGGCCAGGGCCATTGTCCAATTAGTCTCGAGTCCCATGTCTTAGGCAGGGTCAAGCTCGGGGCAGTGTGCTGGGGATTGTGTCAGCCTGCCTGGCTACACACTGCACGGTCCCCACCTCCTCCTTCCCTACGGCTGTCAGCAGCTGGGGTGAGAGTGAGGGCGCCTCTGGCAGCATCTGTCCCTGCCCACAGGGCTTAGCCTGGAACCAGGATCCCACAAAGAGGATTAAGGGGGCTGGAGGAGGGAGAGGGGAGCCCAGGCTGAAGTATGAGGAAGACTGGACAGTGCAGGTGGCTGCCTGATTTGGCCTGGTGGCCCGGAGGGAGCCAGATGGTGTCAGCTTCTGACAAACAGAGGAGCCCTGGAAGGGTCTCAGCTGCATTCCTATCCAGCATCCCTCCTGGCCAAGGGCATCTTCTCTAGAGGCAGACGGGCGTCGACTGGAGTCCCAGGCCCACTTCTAAGGCTGTGGGACCTTGGGACATCAGTTACAGCAAGTCTGTGCCATCCTCTGTAAAGTGGGGAAGCTGGCAGGACCAGCCTCCTGGGGAGGTTCGGGGGGAAGGCATACAGCGCGAGCCGGCTCAGCGTCAGGCACACAACAGGGCCTTTGCGATGACGGCCCATGTTACCACCATTTCTTCTGCTCCAGGCCGGGGCCATGCTGGGCCTTTTGTCCCCCTGCCGTCTGGAGCTTTTCAGGAAACATGGTACCCCTGGACTGTGCCCACTGTTCCTGCCTGGCCAGGCCGCGTACTTGGTCCTCCTCTCCCAGCCTCGGGATAGGTGGGCTCTCCAGCAATCTGTTTACCCACATTCCCTTCAAAGCTGACCCACGGCCTTCTGAGCAGCTGCCTCCCCTGGCCCCTGAAGTACCCTCACACTTTATGGATACGGGCCACACAGCTGGGGACATTCCCAAGCTGAGAGCTTGTGGCTCTGCTGGCTGGCAAGCTTGCCACAGGCTCTGGGCCTGGCCTGTGCCCAGCTTATTATATCCTAGACCCTTACCCAGTTCTCTGGGTTCTGCTGGACGTCTGGGCTTTTGCACATGCTGTTCCACGTGCCTGGAACGCTCTTGCTATCCTCAGCTGCTTGGCGGACTCCTGCATATTTCTCAGTTTTCCGTGACACATCCCACCTCCCAGGCAATTAAGGCTTCCCTTCTCCGTGCTGCTTTCACCTTGTCCACGATTTTCTTGGTCATCGCTTACACCTCTGCCTCCCCCCACTAAAGAGGAGACCAGGCTTAGTAAAGTCTCATTCATCTTTGGTTTCCCTGGACTTAGCAGAGCAGATCACACGTGACAGATGAGGGGTCACTCCATGTTTACTTGGCTGGCTGGCTGGATGCAGTGGGGGCTCAGTGAACGTGTCCATGAGTGGATACGGGGGGCAGATAACTAGAAAAAGGGTTCCATGATGTTTGCTAAATGAATGAATGACTGGATAAAAGGACGGCTGAAAACCCTTTAAGAGTCTCTGTGGTTTGCTTATTTTGGAACACTGACCCCCAAAGCAAGCCCTATGTCATTCTCATCAAGTGTCCATGGGGACTGTGTCTCCTCATCAGACCTAGGTCCCCCAGGGGGTGTGTCTGTGGGGGACACACACAGCAGGACCATCCCCTCCAGCACCGATGTCTTCCCAGCGCTCACCCCTCCGAGGTCTGGCGGCTCCCCGACACCTGGACAGGCACACCGGCCCCCAGCCATCCCCGTGGGCACGAGTGCAGGCGGGAGGGTGCGGACTCACCGTCAAACAGCCCATCAGGCTCTGCTCGAAGGGCCGCTGGAAGGCTCTCGGGTCTCCGCACCAGTCCAGCAGCTCCGTGGCGGCATTGTGGAAGTTGGCAGGATTCTGTAAGTGCTGTGGGAAAGGAAAAGGAGGCAGGTGAGGCTCCGGGAATGAGGCTGGCACAGGCAGTGGGGCAGGGAAGACTCCAGCCTCGCCAGGAAGGAGAGTCACCGACAGGGGCAAAGTGGCAGGCCAGGATCAACGAGCTTCCTCACCCTCCCTGCCCTCCACCTGCCCTCAGCACGTCCATCCCACCCCCACCGCATCCCTGCAGGGGGGAGATGAGTGGTCCCATTGTGAAGATGGGAAAACCAAGGTCTAGAGAAGGCCAATGATATCAGACGGTAAAGTGACTTCTGGATGCTGGTGGTGCAGGGAGGTAGACCCCGAAGGGTTCTGGAGGGTGGCATCTGGCTCCCATACTTGGAGGCTGGCTCTCCCTGATTCAAGGCAGGCCAGCCCTGGTGGTGTCTTCCTGATTAACCCCCACTAGCAAAGCTCGGGGTAGACTCCCACTAGCTCTGGCTTTAGAACAAGCTCTGCCTTAGCCAAATAGGGAGGGGAGAAGTGGGGAGCCACACCCAGCTGGGAGCGGGACTGAAGCCCACGGTGCCCGGTCGTCACACTGGGGTCTGGTGTGTGTAGCTTAGTGCCCCAAGGTCCCTAGGCCCAGATCTCCTGGGCCCTGTCTGGCTCAGCTGGGGGCTGCTGACATGGTTGGGAAAGGTCCGGGCCTGAGTTCAGCCCCCTCCCAGTCAGGCTATGAGTCCAGAGAGACTGAATTCTGGTGCCTGGGTGCCCGGGCCACGGGGCTGGTGGGGTGAGGGGGGGTGGCTCCCATAGCCACCTTTCATTCTTTGGCACTTATTGTTCAAGACTCAGCTGTTGTCCCAGGCCCTCTTGAGTCTGGCACTGAGTCCCGGAGATAAATGACTTAGCCAGAAGCATGGAGCAGGTTAGGGGCAAAGCTGGGATTCTGGGATGGGACTTTGGCCAAATGTGGGTGTGACTGGCTGTGTCCTCCAGGGGGACCCTTAGAGGGTGTCCACAAGGGTCGGCATGAGAGCCAGCTGCACAGCTGCAGAGACAATGATACCTCCTGAGGTCCCTCCTGCCTTGGTGCTGGGAGGGACAGCAGAACAGCCGCTGCCAGGGACAGGTGGTCCCGCTAACCCGACCTGCAGCTCGAGCCTGCCCTGGAACCCGGGCAGCCAGGGGCTTAGGAGCCGCAGGCCCCAGAACTGGGAGGGGAGCAGAGTGCGCCGTGGGAGCCCCTGTGGGGCAGGCACCCTGGAGTCACACTCTGCCTTCACCCCTGCAAGCCACTGACCTAGCATGGTCCCCTCACCCCTGAGTCTCAGTGGCGCACGTGTAGAACAGTGCGGCGGTGGGACTTTTGTTTCTTTTGCATAGGTTTCCATGGCTATTGCTGCACTGTGGTTCGCGCAAGGCAAGGTTCAGAAAACAGATGCGAGCAGGTGAAATGAATGAGAACATCCTCCTTCCATGGAAGTAAAGGGAGAGAAGAGATGAGAGGAGGAGGATGGCGAGCAAGGGGCAGCAAGTGGCTGACATGGGGCGCAGAGAGCACTCAACACGATGAGGCTGCTATGCCCGGCACAGCGCCCGGCACGTGGCGCGCTCCCACGTGGGGCCGCCCGCGCCCAACTCTGTCTCCCAAAGGCTCCCCTGGAAGCACAGCCACTGGCGGCAGTGCTCAGCCCTGGCTCTTTCTGCAAGGGTGACACTTCCTGCACGTGACTCGCGCAAGACAGGCGAACGTCTACGTACAGAAGCGTGCCCTAGGAGAGGGCAGCAGCAGGTCTCACCTTTGCCTCGCGCGCCCTCTGTCTGAAACACGCCCCTCAGAGGCCATGGCGGAGTCTGGGCTCTACACGGGAAGCCGTGCAAATCAGCTCATTCCCGCCCAGCTGCCTCCCCCGCTAACCAAGTTGTTCCATCTACTTACAAGATGTCACACCCAATTAGCGGATCAGCAGCCTCTGTATGCTGCTCCCAGCCCGCAGTTGGCCACAGCACCCCCTCTGGGGCTCTGGGTTCGAGAGTGGCCTCCGAGTCTTGTTCTGGGGCCTGTGTGCCCAGCCTTCCAGATCTCGCCACCTCTGAGATCCTCTGCCCTCACCCAGACAGCTCGTGTGGCCTTCAGCTGTGGCTGCCTCTCGGGGGGGGGGGGAACATTCCCTGTGCTGGCCACCGTGCAGCAGCTCTGTGGCCTTGGCCAAGGCGCCTCCCCTCTCTGTGCCCTTGTTGCTGGTTCCAACCATGAGGTGGCTGAAGCGCACGGCGAGACGGAGGGATCTGGTGAAACGTGCAGGACAGACCTGGTCCAAACCCTGTCTCAGCCACTGAGCCACGCAGCCTGGGGGATATCCCTGAACTTCAGCTCCTTCATCTCAGCAGTGGGGTGGAAACAGCACGCAGGGCTGCTGCAAAGTCTAGAAAGAATATACGTGAGGGGCCCAGCACGAGGGAGCAGCCGGGTAGGGGCTGCTATTGCTGTTCATGCTGGGGCCTCTCCACAGTCCTTGCTTCTCTTAGGAGGCTCTCGAGGGTAGAAACAGCCTCCTGTTCACTTCTGGAACCCTAAAGATGGGCACAAGGCTGGAGTGGAGCCCCACAGGAAATGGTGAGCTGTCAACTGCCCAGAGGATGGTCTGTCTCCGAGGCCAGCAACCTGGCCACTGCAGAACCGGTCCCCAGTGGCACGTAGAGGGCCAGGGCTGGGCAGGGGTGAGCTTGGCCAGCCTGGGATGGTCTGGGGATGGGAGCACACCTTTGAATCATAGGCAGAGGCTTCCCTCGCTGTGGGTGTTATTGGACACTAAAGCCCTGTCCCCCACCAGAAAGCCTGCCCTTCTCCACGATTCCTCAGAAGAGCTGGGATACGTCCAACGGCCACAGAGTCTGCTGGGACAGGAGCAGGGCATGCCATTGCCCAGACCAGGGACTGGCTCCCCTTGAAGTGATGGATTCATCTTCTTATCAACCCCTCTGTCCATCAACCCACCAGTCCATCTGTGAAGCAAATGATCCATCCATTCATCCATGCATCTATCTATCCATCCATCCAAAATGAATCACCTCATCCATCCATCTGTCCACTTGCCCACCTACTCATTCATCCATTCACTACTTTATCCATCACTCACCCGTCTACCGATCTATTCATTCATCTACCTATCTGCCCATTCATCCAGAAGTTAATCTATCCAGCCACCCACCTATCCATTCATTCATCCATTTATCCATTCGTCATTTATACATACCCACCACTCGCCCATCTTTAACTACACATCCATATGTCCATCCATCCATCCCCCCCTCCCTCCTTCCATTCCCTTATGTATCTGCCTATCAGTCTACCTCTCCCTTGCACCCACCCAAAACACCTGTCCCACCCCGCCGGCCTGGGCCCCAGGCTAGACTCTGCCAGCTTAGAGATGAATGTGGCACATCCTCCGACCCCCAAGAATTTCAGCCCGGTGGGGACCTGATATACGCCCACAGGCCTCTAGCTCCAGGGAGAAAGAGCAGGGTGGGTGAGGTAGCTGGCTGCCCAGGAAGCCCTCGAGCTCAGGGTGTGCAGATGCTCAGAAGGGCCCCTGGGGTTCGGGGTGGCTGCTGAGCAAGAATGAGCTGATTTGCGGGGCTGGTGGAGCCAGATGTGCCTTTGGCCTCAGGTGGGGCACGTCGTAGAGAGGGAGCACTGGTTTCCCCAGGACCACGAGGCTGAGAGGGGGCAAAGGCAGCTGAGCTAGAGGCCTGCGGGGGAGGAGGGCAGCAGGGTGCTGGGGGCGAAGGCCAGCAATGGCTAGAACCAGGCAGGTGGGGGAGGGAAGGCTGTGAGGAGAGGTGAGGCTGCTGATGGGAGCCACAGCCCCTACCAGCCCGGGGTCTGCACAGTTGACACATCAGTCAGCCTCCGCGCGTGCAGACATGCTCGCCTTTCTCTTCTGATTAGGTTATGGGATACCTGAGAATCAACAGTCCTCAGGCAGCCGTGGAGCCGACGGATGTCAGCGCTGAGCGGCCTGCCCCCGGAGGTGCAGGAGGAGGGGCGTGGAGGACGCAGGCACAAACGTGCCACTGTCTGGCTGGGATGCAGAGCCCTCTGTGCACGTGTGGAGCACTCGCATGCGGGGAGGGCCGCTGGGGCTCCGGCCCTCGCTGGCTGACTGCGCATTAATTATGATGCCCATTTTACAGATGAAGCAAGATGAAGCGGCATTTTAATCAAGGTCGCACAGCTTGTAAGCGGTGGAATGGGGACCAAGGTTCCCTGACTTGTAAATCTGAGCTGTGTGTGCCATGCTGCAGGGGTTGGGGCTGTTCCTGGGTGAGCCTCTGCCCACGCTGGACCCAGGGAGGGCCAAGGGACTCAAGGACAGCCTGGCTCCTGGTGACGCAGAGCTGGGTGCTGGGAGCAGGTCTCAGGAGGAGTGGCGTGCTTGGCATATGAGGGATCATGGACAGGAGCCATGACGGCACCACTGGGGGCTGGGGTCAGTGCCAGCTGAGCCATGGGCAGGAGAAAGTGGGTCAGAGGCAGAGCTGGGAGAGCCCTGCAGAGCCCCAGGAGGAGGAGGGAAGGCGGGGGAGGAGGGAGGCGCTTGTCTGGTTTCTATTCTGCACCTGTGAGCAGAGGCGCGTAATTGGCGTTTGGGAGAGCCGTTCAGGCTGGGTTCAATCTGTAACAAGTCTTCTTCAATTTCCTCCTCTCAGACCCACACCGGCTTCCAGATTGCTCTGTCTGATGCTAATGAGAGGACACACATCCCTCCTTCATTCCCGGGGAATAGCCACAGCTCCACTGGCCGGGCTCCCCGGGGAGGCTCCGTGGGGTCCTGGCCCCCAGGAATGGGAAGCTGGGTCGGGGTGGGAGCCGAGAGCTCTGCCCAGCTGGGGTCCTGGGGCTGTGGCCCATGCTGGTTGCTGGAGCTTTCTGCTAAGCCTGCCTAAGCCAGGGACCCCCGCCCAGCACTCCCCTCCCCATCGCTGAGATACAGAGGATGACAGCCACCGCCGCCTTCAGCTGATCACCCACGATGGGCCAGGCCTGGGCTACACGGGTCACAGCAGCCTATGAGGGAGGCCCCACCTGACACAGGAGGAGACTGAGGCTCAGAGAAATGAAGGACAAGCCTGAGATCCCACAGTGGGGACAGAGAGGAATGAGGACTCGGGTCTGGGTCTGTCTGACGCCAAAGCCCATACCCCTCCCGCGACACCCGCCGCCTCCTGCAGCGAGATGACACCATTCCATCTGCAAAGCAGCAGCCTCCCTGGGCTGCGGGAGGCCGAGCCCAAAGGTGGATGTGTCACCCCTGGCCACCGCTGGGAGCGCCCCTGTGAGGGGTTCCCCACCTCGCAACAATCCAGATGGGGGTGCTCCCGGGCGAACTGCCTGTTGGGCTTGGCGTGAGCATCGGCAGGGGGGGAATTCACCATCCTCTGGGATGAGGTCCTCCCAGCACCAGTAGGGCCAAGTTCTGGGCTGTGTGACTTCAGGCTACTCTGTTCCTCTTTCTGTGCCTCAGTTTCCTTTCCTGTAAAATGATCTAATTTCTTAGCTGGTTGTGGTAGTACACCTGTAGTCCCAGCTACTCAGAAGGCTGTGGCGGGAGGATCACTTGAGCCCAGGAGTTCGAGGTTGCAGTGAGCTGCGTTATGATTGTGCCACTGCACTCCAGCCTCGGTCACAGAGCAAAACCCTGTCTCTAAAAACATAAAATAAAATGATCTAATTAACCAGAACCTTTTCTTCTCTTGTGGCTTTTTTTAGAGAATAGCTGGAACAGAGGGGCAGAAAGCACAGGTCTGGGAAGGATGCGGAGGTGGATCGCAGCGTTGGGCACTCACTGTGTCCTCACAGCGGCCCGGAGCACATGAACAGAGCACCGTGAGGGCACGACGCGGCCCAGAGTCGCACAGCTGGGAAGGGAGAGGAGGGACAGGGCAGCGCTGGCATCGGAACTCAGGGGTGTGTGACTCCAGCGTTAGGCTGGTCCGTGCCAGCATACCAACGATGGTCTCACCAGGTGGGTGGTCAGGGACCCCGGGGCACTGGTCCATGCCCACCAGCCCCCCAGCCCCCGCTAGACGTCCCGCGGCTGCAGCAGAGGCCTGCACCCCCCACACACCCACCTGCTTGATGCACTGCAGTCGGTCATTGGTCTGCTGGATGTGCCTGTCCATAGAATTCATTCTGGCCGTTTCGCTGGGTTCTACCCGAGAGCCATGAACGTTGTCCAGCCTGTGAAGAGAGAGGGGAGAGGGTGTCACCGAGATTGTGCCAGGCTTGCCAACCTCACGCCGGGCCCCCAGCCACCCTCTGCTCACAACACCAGCAGGTTCTAGGGCTCTTTGCTGGGCCCTGCGGGGCCACGGGGGTCACAGCTGGAGCTGGGCTGAGGGCAGGAGGCGCTCGCACGCCCACCAGGAGACGAGGAGCTACACACATGGGTGCATGCATTTCCGTACGTGCACTTGTGTGTTCGGTGGGCAGCGGGGGAGGGAAACGGCGTCCCCACGCTTGGATTCCTGGTTCAGGGATTGGCTTTGTATGTGCGTGTGTGTGTGTGTGTGTGTGTGTGTGTGTGTGTGCATGTGCACACGAGGACCTTCCGCGTGATGACTTGCACTGCAGGCGTGATCTGAGTACAGATTTGTCACGGGTGCCACCTGCCCTCCCCAAATCCCTCACGCTTTAGAGTTCTTCACTTTACAAACCATTCCCAACTCCATTGTTCCACTTTGTCACCCCCCTGCCCCCACCTCCTGGAAAAGGCCAGTGGGAGGCACCACACCCATTTTCCAGAACCTAAAGGCTCCGGGAGAGGAGGGGAGTCGCCTGACACAGTAAGCCGGCATCAGGTCCCACACCAGGAACCCGGCTCCGGACTGCCGGCCACGGCTACGTCTACCGCACAGGCCGGGCAGTCGGGTGCCTGAAGTCCTGGGCACGAGGCTCACCCTTCCTGAACTGGGGTGCAGTGGGGGGCTCGGGAGCATTAATACAAGCAGGGCTTCCCTCCAGATGGTAGAGCTAAGTGGAGGAGGCTCCCTCGGCTCCAGAAGGCCCTGACAGCCCCCAGGCCCCTCCAGGGAGGCCGCAACAGCGATGGCAGAGACAGAGGAGAGAGACTGCACAGCTCTAGTCTACCCCCTGCTCAGGCATCCATGTCTTAGGGCCAAAGCAGAAGTCTGCCCACTGCCAGCTCGCTTTGCCCTCCCACACCCAGTGGGCAGTTCAGGCTGCCCACACAGGGGTCAGACCCAGGGTGCTGGACAGGAGGCCCATGGCCCTGGCCTCCTCTGCTGTCCCACCATGCTGTCCCCCAAAGACCCCTCATCCCCGGTCATGTCAACGAAGGTCCCATTTACCCGGGACTTTTCATGTGCCGGGCACCTGCGTTCTCTCCTTTTCTTTCATGCCCACTGTCAGGCTAGGATCATCTCCATTTTACAGATAAGGAAACTGAGGTCCCCAGATCTGTTGGGCCCCCTTGGCTAACAGAATTTTGGACCGTGCCTGTCTGCTTTCTGCGTCCTGACTCTGCCTGCTGTGTGCACCCTCACTGAGGAAACCGACGCCACTGCCTTGCCCCAGTATTCGGGAAGAAAGCCTATTCCTCCTCCTCCAAGGAGCTCTTACTACACATCCTTTAAAGCAATTCTTATCGTGCCACGTGTGTTTGAAAAGGTAATTCATTTGCATAGTTCGAAAATCAGAAGGTCCAGACGGGTACCCAGTGCAGAGTCCTGGCCCTGTCCCCGCGCTCCAGGTGCCCGTCCTAGGAGAACCAGTGCCGTTGCTTCCCCTTCCAGAGAGCCTCATGTTCTAGAAGCAAATATCTACATGTCGCATCGCCTGCTGTTTCTTTTTTAAAAGACATAAAACGATAGCATTCTGTACACCTGGACCTTGCTTTTTTCCTCTTAATACTATATCTCAAAGTTTATCCCACATCGAGACATATAGAGCCTTTTTCATTTTGTAATGGCTGCACGGTATTCCAAGGTACAGATGAAGCATTTATTCCACCAACATCTGACTATTTACCCCCCTGCCAAGGGCTGTTCTAAGGCCTGAGGCCCCAGACAGGGCCCCTCCACTCAGGGATTCACACTCCAGCCTGAAATGATGGAGCCTGAAGCTGTTAACAAATTTTTACTATTGCAAACAGTGTTGCACGAATAACCTTTTATATTGGCACATCACACATGTGTGAATTAATCTGGAGAGCACACTCTCAGAGCGGAGTTGCTGGGTCATTTGGGCATTTGTACTTGTGATAAGTGCTTTCGGAAGCTCTCCGGCAAGAAGGTAAAAGCGAGGATGTGCCCACATTCATTGCTTCCACCCCCACCCTGCCAGCCGTCACATACCCTGACGTCAACTGCTCCACCCATTGTTTCTCCATCTAAATGCCTGCCTGTCCATCCGTCCACCCACCCATTCAGACAACTCTAGTCTCTACTTGCTCATCCACGAATGCTTTCACTCACCCAGAAAATGCTTTTTAATAACTATGCTGTGCTGGGTCCCAGGCTAGATCGATGGGGCGTGCAAAGGTTAGAAAGAAGTAATTTTCTTGTGTTCAGGGAACTCTTGGTCCAAGCCTGTATTGACTCCAGGTCACCTATAGGTGATTATCTGTTGAGCTTCTCCTATGAGTCATTGCTGGTCCAGGCACAGTGCAGAGAGAAAAAATGCTATTATATACCCACTTTACAGATGAGGAAACTGAGGCTTGGAGGCTGTAGTTGGTTGGGTAGGAGCCAGCTGTAGAATGCTGGCTTTCGGATCATGCCCTCTGCTGTTGAACAGGTGTTGGGGAGGGGCTGGGGGTGCAGGTGTGTGTGTGTGTGTGTGTGTCTGTGTGTGTGTTGAGGGGACGAAGTGGTGAGGGTGGAACTCCCTTTGGTACCCCTGTACGTCCCCCAAGCAGGGGCTAAAGTTCTCCTCTCAGAGTTTATCTGCAGAGAGCCACAGCCAGCACTCACGTGACACAGACTCCTGGGGCCAGGGACAAATATGGGGGGTGGGGGGTTGGGTAGCAGGAACACAGCAGGGCCCAGAGCAGGAGCAAGCCAGTGCCACCTTCAATGAGAACACCTCAGTTCCCGGTGCCTGGCCCCATCTGAGCTGAAGGACCCTGGTGTCTCCCAGGCACCACATATACCAGTGGGCTGCCAAGGCTTGGGTCCCTGCTGGGCATGGATGAACACTGGCTGCCAGGGTTCCAGGACAGAGTGCAGTGTCCACAGCCAGCCCGAGGGACCCAACACACAAAGGCCAGGGGCGGGTCAGCTCCCTTCTGGAGGAGACTGAAGGAAGTACAAAGAAACCCCAGGCCCACCAGACTCCACCTGCTGTCTGCAGGCCGCAGCCGCCCAGGACAAAGGGCCTGTGGTGGCCCGTGCAGCCAGCAGGGGGCGCCCTTGACAAGCCTAAGTGCTGCGAGGGCCAGTGGAGGTTCCTGGGCACTGTGGAGGTTCAGGGTGGTCTCTGAGCCCGCCCTCCTCTTCCTCACTGCAGGAGGGCCTTTGAGCAGGCTTCTCGGTTTTCTTGGCCTTGGTTTCCTCACTCGTAGAACAGGACAGTGCAGAGGGGTGTTAGGTGGTTTCATAAGGCTCTGCCTCTTAGCAGGAACTTTCCCCAGCATGGGCATGGCACCGTGTCCAGGGTCAGAGACCCAGTAGGCCTTGAGGGGCCGACAGAGTTTCTGGAGCCCACCCAAGGAGGTCCCAGGCAGGCACCGGGAGCCCAGATCCACCCAGCCAGCGACCTGGGCTTTTCTCCCTAGCCGTGGCTCCACCCTACAGGAACCAAGGAGTGCTAGGCTGGGCTTGGGACACCTGCAGGTCCCAGGGTGGGTGGGTGGCTGGCAGGAGACACATCACAGATCATAAGGACAGCTGTGTGTCCCATGTTTCTTAGTCTCTAAAAGAACAAATGGCTGGCTTATTAAGGAGGCACCTATAGGTGAGGTGATGTTTTTAAACTCTGAGATCAATGGTAGGAAGTTGGGGTTATTAACACCAGGAATGGAAGGGACGGGAGACTCCAGTGTCCACAGTAAGAGTCAAAGGCCTTGAAGGCTAAGGGTCCCAGGCATGAAGAGAGGAAGGGCTCAGGGAAGCATGAGGGAGGTAGCTTATGGAGCGGGCAGGCTGGGCTCTTCCATTTGTTTTGTACCTGCTAGTTTGGGTACCACACCAGGGCCTATGCAGTGCTAATTTTCTTAATCCTTAAAAGGCTCAGCGAGGTGAAGCAACTTGCCCAAGGTCACACAGCCAGAAAGCTGCTGGTCTGAGATTCAAATCCTCTGCCTCTCTGTTAATGTGTCGTCTTTTCCACTCCTCCGGACTGGTGGGCAGAGACTCCTGGCACTCCCCACCTCGTGCAGTGCCCGGGCCCAAAGAGCTGTCCTGCTTGTTTGTCCAACCTGCCCAAACCCACTCACTAGCTTCCAAGGCCCTCCCAGCAGCGCTGGCTCCCTGCATGCTGGCCGGGCTGGGAAGTGGTGGCCATCTAGCGGCCGGCAGAGGTCGCCCTTCGCCACGGGAGCACTGCCTGGGTTCGGTCGCTGCCTCCGCCTCCGGGCACCTGGACTCCTTTAAGCCTTTACAAGTCGCTACAAATCCTCTGTGGCTGCAGCTCCAGTGGCCAGTGAGGCCGAGCCTCCCTCCCAACAGATCACTGGCAGCCCGGCCCTGAGTGCACCCGTGGCCTCAGCCCTCCTGGCTGCCTGTCTGCCTCTGATGGGGGGTGGGCTCAAGCAGGGGACCCCCGCCCCAGTTCAGGACCCACCATCTCTCCTGGTCTGAGCAGCTGTAAGCCTGCTGGTGATGCAAAGCTAGTCAGTGTCAGCGGGGACTGATGGTGCCCCCACCCTACCACCCTCCTGCTGTGCAAGCAGGGCAAAAGGCTGGGCCTCAGTTTCCCTATCTGTGAAACGAAGGATCAGGCCAGCCAGTCGTTCGCGGTCCATCAAACTCCCACATCTTAGAATTTCCCTGTGAGGAGCTCCAGTTCTTTGGAAGAGTCCACCTCCACAGGAGTAGAACACTTGCCTTTGGAACTGCAGAGCCTGTCTTAGGGCAGCCCTGTGGGGAGGCCACGGGCTCCGGCAGCGATTCTTCCAGGCAGCCCAGGGCTGTGACGCTGCCCCTTCCACAGCTCTGCACTTTCCTTGCTCCTTCTGCTTGGCTGGGCTCAGCTGTGCAAATGGAAGTTTTTGGATGGTG